TTATGACTTATAACTACATGACTTATGTTCGTGAAATCTCGAAAATTAGATAATTTTCCTTTGTTTCAGGGCTAGGACCATTGCAACTGTCGTAATTATGGCCACCGTGAGACGCATTGAGAAAATTGATGCGAGATTGGTATTGGAAAAAAGAGGAAAGAAGGATCAACTCCTTTGTGTTAACCAGAACACTAAAAAAATACATTCTAGAAAAAAAATCTACTCTCAAAGTTATGTAAGTGAAGAATTTACCTCAAATGCCATTAAAATATGATGATAAAGGAAAATAGTCCTTTAGAACAGAGGTAGTGACAAAGGGTACAAACAATGCATTCAGTGTCTTGTAATTATAATATAGATTAATGAAATTAGAATAAAATAATTAGATTTAATTAATGTTAGAACTAGAAGGGGAGGGGGATGAAGGAATCAAAAGTGAAGACTAGAGGGAGTAAACTAGTCGGTTCGAAAGATTGAGTTGTTGTATGGGAAAAAAATATTTCTCTTTGACTTGTCTCTTTTAGTAATCAGAACATATATAGCATGCCAGGAAAATCTCTCCGCAGTGGCACCTTGCTGGTGAGGGTGCTTACAACAGAAGTTATGTTGGTAGCACACGCTGCAGCTTGAAAACATACGTTGTGTATTCACTACAATCATAATAAATGCTGGAAGTGATGTTCCAATCACTTGTTTTCCAATGATCTGGTTGCTACTAACATTATTGCAGTTTTTAATAGGAGGCCCTGATTTGGCTCAGTTTGGAGATTTTTCTGGTGCACTGTGGAAATAATTAATTAAGTTTCTGAATTTTCTAATTGTGCTTACTCTTCTCCTTTTCATATCTCAGGCTTCAACACCCTTTTGTGAATTAAGACTGCCAAATAGATGGAACAATGCTCTGAAATATCAAGCTGGGAGTCTCGAAAGAAAGAAGACAAAGCAAAAGGAATATTTCAGGAATTAATTTTTGGAACTCCTTTATGTGAATTTCGACCTACAGACAGCATTCGCATAGTAAATGCATCAATAAGAAGTCGTGGATCGAATCCTGTTGATGTAGGAAGCATGGTATGTACGTGCAAACAGGGAGTCGTTGTTTACATTTAATGTTTGTGAAATCGCAGAAAATAAGATTCATTGCCTTAGTTTCAGGGTAAAAGCATATTATTTTTGGCATTTCAACATTCCTTTTATTATGGTTACTGTGAACAAATTTGTTATGAAATTGGCATCAGAAAACAAAGAGCCCAGTGCATTGTCAACTCTGTTGTTCGCGTGAACAAAAAAATCGCAGTGGTAAACAGAAATTATTCTCACACTATTATCACTTGTAGGAAAGGCTGGTATGATTTAAATCATGATTTAAAAAAAATCAATGATCACTTCAAAAATTAAATCAATGATTGTCATCTGAAATAAAAAAAAATCAATGATTCACATAAATATTTATTTGCAAAATTCGAAAAAATATTTATATTTTAAATATTTGTGAATTAAAAATTACTCTGATAAAAAGACATAAATCAAATACAAAGTTGATATAATGAATATATTATAGGCGTATTTCTTATAAACTTTTTCACATAATTGAACTATTTTGAGCAAATAAAATACAATAAAAAATATAAATGCAATATACAAAATACAATAAAATACAAATATAATATACAATAAAATGAACATACGTACGAAATGAACAATGAAATATTTGTAGTAGACTTTATATATTAATCGACTTAGATGATCGATTAGTTTTTATCCGGCCTTTGGTTGTCTGTAGGTAAAAAGTAATTTAACAGCAATACCGCCCTAACGCACGTAAGCTAGCTTCTAGAAAAATACGTTTAAAGCATCGACAATGTCCATAATTCTAGATTTCTATTAAAATGTTTCCTAAAGCTGCCTAAAGTACATCTTAATAATGAGTATTAATAAAAATGGAATTTTGTTAATACGCATTTAAAAAACAAAATTAATATCAATAAAACTAATGAAGTCTTACTAGTTTTAATAATATTAACCTTTTTTGTTTTGTGTATATTGATAAAATTCCATTGTAAGAGGGAATCATACTTCCCCCTGATTGCTAAAGGGTTAAGGGAAAATGCGTTAGTAACAACCCCGTATTTTTTGATAACAGCACAACTATTAAGTAAAATTTAATATTTCAATAACTGTCTAACATTGTTAAGTTTTTTGATGAATTCAGTTGTTTTCGACAATAAGTGCTTTTTGATTAAGGTGGTATTCCACCAAATAAATGGTAATTCCTTGAACGAAGAATGCCTTTTTTCTAAATATGATGCCACAAGCTTATTTGGTATTGTAGACGCAAGTGTGTTTCAAGAGCATGAAACTCTAAATCAAATTTAATGATTTTTGTGGGTAAGGGGGATATTGCACTGGACCTCTCAAATATATAGTATTTCTATTTTTTAAATTATAATTGCAGATATTAATGATAAATTTAAAAACTTGTTTTAATAAACTTTTTCTGCTCTTAAAAGTAATTAAGAATAAATCACTGAACATTTTTGGTTTAAAGTAAGAACATTTAATACAATTTTCTTTTTAAATCGTGACTTTTTCCAGTCCTACTTCTAGGTCTTTTGGCTAAGATCAATGTGTTCCCGTCTGCCCTCTAATATCAAGTTTACCAAGGTCGATCCGCTTGTGGAGAAGAACTATGACACCACCCTAGGCCTGTGGCAGAAGGTGGATGTCATCACGGCCTTAATCACCCCACCTTGCTTTCCCCTTCATATGTGGTTACTCTCTCTCAAGTCTGCTATGGAATTTGACAAATGGTTCTGTGACCTGGCCAAGTCCCTGCTCTGCCTCCTTGACAATGCCTCCATCCACTACTTTCACGCCCCCCGATCTGGTAAAGGAATTGGGTTGCCGGTGTTCCGACATGAAGAACTCTTCGCTTCCATCGAAGTCGCCTTCGAGCTCTTCTCTTCTAAGACAAGACAAGACGGCCCATCGCCTCACTATGTGGTGAACACACACTTCCGCATCCCGCTCTTGTCACCCTCCCTTGTGGAGGATTATCTTAACTCCATGGCCTGTCCCAATAGAGTTGAAAGCAAATTTATTCAGTCGGATGCCAGATGCACCTCCAAAGTGCGTTTGCCGGACAAGGGAGGTTGAGGTCTGCCTTCTTCCCACTCTTCTCTGACACTAACAATCTGCCTGCCCCCCTCCTCATCAACCATCCTGCCCTATCAATGGAACTTTGTCCTCCAGAAACTCTGCCAGCTGCAACAGGACCAGCACCTAAAGCATTGGAAGGAGCTGAAGGGCAGGCTTCTCCAGCCCTGGCTTGGGCTGGGATTCTGGGCATATTCTGTGGACAGACCTTTATCTCCATCATGGTGGCGTCTATGGGGGTCCGGAACCTCATATGGGTGCTTAGGGCAGGGTGTGTTTGTGTGCCCAATGATGACAATAGCTGCCAGTTCGGCTGCAACAAGGTAGACTCTTCAAATGTTTACCCTGAGATCCAGATTCAATCAATCACTGCGAACATGGCTATCTGGACATCAATTTATGTCATAACCATTGTCAGCCTTCTCAAATCAGCTTCATCAGCCAACATCTGGCTGGTCCTCACTGAGGATGAGGCTCTTATCGGCCAAAATCTTCATCCAATCTTGTTTTATGGAGTGGGAGTGTTATGTCCGTCCGCATCAGCATTCAAAGCAATCCCCTTCAAAGGCAGCAGGAGAACTTAGGCAATGGCAGGGATAAAGAAATTGCAAAAATATGCATCACTTCGCCAGGCAACTCTGGGGGTTGAGATTCTCAGGTGTTCCTTTGGTTGTCAACACCAGAGTTGCATGGGATCCTCCGAAAAACCAGATCCTAAAAGATCTAGGCCCACGTTTACAAACTGCTGCCAGGCGATCCCCTGGCAGCCTGCCGTCTGGGGACCCGTCACTGCGCTGCTGGGAGACTGTTAGCGGTAACATGGCTTTTGGTATTCAGAAATTACTCCTAGCTCTGCCCGAGTGAAGGCTTGCTATGATTGGTGGAAGGGCATAAGCATGCGCATTTGTAGACTTGCATGCCAGATGAAGAAGCATACCAGCATAATAAATCTAACTGAAATAATTTTTCTTTTTAATTTGAACCATATTTTATCATGAAGGTGAATATAGAAACATTGATATGCGTTTTATAATATCCAGTTCATTTGTGCACATTCCCAGTGTATTATAGCCTGAAAGCCATCCCACTTCTACAATTGTATTTTCCGTATTCTTTGATATGAGAGATGCATTTGCAGATTGTTGTCTTACTTGTACCGGTTCACATACATTCAAGTTGTGGTTTTGGTGGTGTGTGTTTGGTTGTTGTAAGTGTTGGTGGTGTTGTTGTTGGTTGTTTCTTTTTTAAATGACCTCGCTTTTTCCCTTTGACACTTTCTTTAATTTCGATTCATGTTGTTTTTGATAGTATTTTTTCCTTTTACAACAACCCAGCTTTTCTTCTTTGAAATTTTCTCTAGATTTTGATTAGTGTTTTATAAATATTTTTTTTTTTTCTTTATAACAATTTTTTGGAACATGACAAAACAAAAGGCACTTTCCTTCTCTGAAAGAGTCTTTTGTGCCTACTGGTATGAAAAAAACAACAACAAAGAAATAGTAGAAAATAAGGCATCAGATTTTACCACAAAGCAAAGAAACCATTAAGTCATGAACCCAAATAATGGATTCATACAATAGCCTTGAAGGCGTCACTAGATGAGGCATGGAGCAGCTAAATTATATGTTTGCGTTTATGTCTGTGCTAATATTTGATTGCAGGTGCTGGGAGAAGATGAAGAGCAACACAAAAAAGTTTGGATGCAGAAAAGATCCAAAGAATAGGAGTTGGAGGAGCCCCTGCCTCCCAACCAATCCAATTTTTGCTGAGAAGTTGGAGATATCTCCTCACTTGGGCCTTGAAGTTGAAAATGATCACGACTCTGTTGATGTGAGGTTGGGGAGTTTGGAGGATGCTGTTACTCCTGAACCTGCTCCTTTTAGTTCTGCCTTTGCAGAGAGATTTACCCTTGACTGGTATGTAAAAGTGTTAAAACTTGTCATGACTGATGAATTCCTTTTTGAAGTAATCGTTTAATAGAGTTAATTGTAACTGTATTAAACAATTACTTCCAATTGTATTCATCAGTTTACATGAGGCAACATATTTGTATTACAAAAGTGTAACAAAAACAAATGTAGATAATGAAAAATTGAGAATTCACATTGGATTTTAATACAATTTTTGGAAGATGTCCATAATGGATAAAAATATGTTCCTGGCAGGGTATCTAGTTTTTATACAACTAATTTCTTAACGTGATCAGTCCTACTAATGAAAGCTTGGTGCAAGTTCGTTAAAACACGCTTATTCCGGGAATAGTTACTTCCGGCGTAAGTTCGGAATAAGGATGTATTAAATTTTTACCAATAATGGCCACTAAACCGTAGCTTAACTAGTTCTTGTTAAATACGGAATCAATGCTTGGCAACATTGCTTCATACACCTTTGTTGGCATATTTTCTTTATTCTTTGGTTCCTCTGTAAGGACTCGGCAGGAACTTTGTGTCATGTTTGAATATAATATTTCGCATTTTTTCCTGAATTGTGTTACTGCATTGGTAGTTAGTGAACTCATGTTGATGAACAAATTGTTTTGGCAATACGATAATTTTGAATGCTGGTGTCCGTTTGAAGAAAATTAAATTAATGATCAAAAGCGCGTTTGCAGGTTAAAGATAGATAAATGATTGCAGAAAGAGCACAGTTTCAATATAAAATCTGACAAATATGAGAAAATGATGTGAATTCGGTGAAATAAATGAACTATGTGTTCAGTAAGTTTATGAATATAACGCACATAATGCATTTATAAGCCTTTTTTTATTTTTCAGTGTTTCAATTGTGAAAATTTTAAAAATTTGTCTCTAAATCTGAATAATAATATAAAAATCCCAAAAAACACATTCTAAAGAAATTAAAATTAATTCTTTTAAATCCTGTGTTCATCTTACAAACAACTTTTATAATTTACTTATTTCACATGCATCTAAAAATTTTTCTTTAGGACCGAATTATTTTCCCAATTCTTGAATACATTAATGTTTCCTTAATAGCATTTCCCATCCTCCGTCATTTAAATAATTATTTCCCCCCTTTTCAATTTATTTATTTTTAAACAGAGTGGTATTTATTCAAATATAGTTCATTATGTTATTCTTTTAAATTGTGGGTAATATTATTTATCTTCAAATTATATGCTGGCATCTTGCCATATATAATTATTGTAAACAAAGTTTAAATACAAATAAATATAATAAAAAAAAAAGTTTATTCTAACTTGATTGGAGAATGATAATATGACTGTCGAACAATAATTGTTAGAGAAGAAAAAAACGTCCATTCAACTTTATTACCAGTTAAAACTGCAGTTTCAATTCATTTTACTCATGTGCCGTTAGGAACACTTAATTCTGATATAAAGATAGAACATTATTTAATTTTTGTGCTGTATAATTGGACAATGTTAGTGCTTGTGATCTAATTTATATTGAATTTATTTCTATTTGATTTAATCCCACTTTTATAAATTGTTAAAAGCTAAATTGTTCAAAGCAAGCCCATTTCAAGTTCAATTTTCCTATTCTCACCAAAAAAATTACTTATTTTTCATTTTTGTTAACATACACATAATTGAAAATACGTGTAAACAAAAGTGAGTGAATGAAATTATTTTCTGGCCTGTGTTAGATTTATCTTCTCTAGAATGTCTGTTTTTTATTAATTCATTTTCTGAACCATTACCCTCTGAAACTTAATATAAAAAATATATTACTAAAATTCTTTCACTTGGAGGAATTTAAAAAAATAGTTTTGCCTTTTCTTACTACAGTATATCTTAAAGGCGGGGATCAACTTAAAACAGCATGCTAAAATACTCCAATATCTAGATTATTTTTTCTATTTTAAGACATTAGTTGATGAATTCAAATACTCATTTGCATGAATATTTTGTATTAATGACCAGCTTTGATATTGACATGTTCATAACTATTGCCTACCAAATTTGCATTAAAACATAATGACAATATTTTTTTTATTAATCAGGTATTGTCTAAAAGATTTGTTAGAACTTCAAATCTGTTAATTTGAGTTCATAATGAACCAATCTTTTAGTCCAATACTAGGGGAAGGCTCAAGTATGTAACTTTTAGTTATAAAATGTTGCTGAAAAGAATAATATTATATACATTTAGTTGGATACAATTAATGCTTTTTTTATTTACATTGAAAACCAACCCAGTCCTTTCTTATATTTTTCCTAAAGGTGATTTCTGTTACTGCGCTTTGCTAGAGATTGTTGATGTTGCAGAGAGGTAGAATACAAGACCTGTTCTTATATTTTTTTGTAGAAAAACTAGTAAATTCAGATTTAAAACGTAAGAAATTAGCAGTATGGAAATTAGTTTTAAAATACAAAGTTTTCTCAGAACACTTAATGAAAATAAATTTTCTGCATTCTTGAACATAAGAGAAGAATTTATTACCTAAAAATTTAAATGTTCAATCGCTGCAAAACTGGAGCATATTTATAAAATAAAAATATATCTATTATCAGACATACAAGTATAACTTTTATTTGAAATTAGTACATTCATAAAATATTAAGTCAATTATGTATCGTACATTTTATTTTAATTGTTCTCTTTAAGTGCTCTCCAAAATGCTGCTGCTCATCAAACATCTGCTACTATTGGTGGTATAAGTAGTCGATTGCTTCTTCCTCCACATAAAATTCTGACTTTTGAAAGCAACAGCTCTGCATAATTTCTGCAGTCTCTTCTGAGCATTGAATGCAGATTTTCAATATAACAAACTATCTCTAAACAGTTTTTTTTCTTCCGTGTTTTTTTGTGGGGTCCTAAATTATTCATAGAAGAAGAAGTAGATTCCAACAAATATCTGCCATGAAATTTCTCATCTTCAGTCTTTGTTTTCATGTTGAATCATTGAAAATATGAGAACAGTGTGTCGTGTCATTTTATTTATTTAACTGATAATGTATAACACAATTTACTTTATTAAAATAAAACAATGTATATCCTTTATTTTCTATGAGATATTGTACGCATGCACGTTTAATGATGTTAATGACATTCTTGAATACAATTGGTTAACTCCTGCGTACCGTCTCACGAAAACTCATTTTTATTTCGAAATTCAGCCGATTACCTTTCAAAAAGATTCACATGTGTCCGGTTACTTTTTTCCCTCGGCTGTCTGTACACTTCATCAATGTTGTTTAACTTCTATTTCTAATAAGAAATGCCAACAAAATCACTTCAAAGTTTTCAATGCCAATAGTCCAAGAAAATAGGAACAAATTAATGATTCACGAAATAAACTAGGTTGCCAAATATTCCAGAAAACACCAGAAAAGAAAGTACAGGCGAATTGAAAATTACAAATACAATGAAGCGAAATGCACTAACAGTTTGTGCTTATTCGCCTCTGTTTTCGCAATTTTAGGTTATTTCCAGGTTATTCCAGGCTTAAATTACGTGTCTCCGGTGTTTAGCGGTTGCCATGGAAACTACACCTCTCTTATTCCGTGCTTGTGTTAGTCCATGTTTATTGGTAGGAGTTTTCGCTATTCGCCTGCTATTCTGGGCTTCAGAATAAATTTTACACCACGATTGTTGGTAGGGCTGGATAAGTACACGTTTTTATCCATTATATGCATATATTCAAAATTAAATATGTAATTCTTTTTTATTATAAAATTTTCTTGTGTACCAATCCTTTAAGCTCTACAAATTATTTGCCTCATGTAAACTAATAATTGTGGCTATAATGAGCAATGTAAAACTGCATATTTTTTTGTAATATTATATTAGCATGAACTGAAGTTAAGACAAATACTAATGGCATTATTCTAGCAGTTGGCATATTTTTTTACTGTTTTAATATCTTTTTCTAACCCTTGAAAGCAATCATCTGGCAAATTACTTGAATATTATAAAGAAAATTTAATTGCTTGTTCATAATCAGGGGTGGATTTTGGTGACATAAAAAATCACCAAAAATGTTAATTAAAATTTTATAAAAATGCCTTAGGTCCGGTTTCACCAAGATTGAAGTTGAGAGTAGTTACCTGAGAGTAAACATTTACTCTTAAGCTAGTAACTCTTGAGTAGAATATAAGTTTCGCTATGCTTCTAGGTATGTAATCTTAGAGTACATACTCTCCGATTTATTCCTCGGACCGCTGAACGTGCACTTTTTCATACACAGTAGAAAGTGACTCAAGAGGCTGTGAGCAAGAGTGACACTGAAGCATACCAACGTTAACCACTGTTTATTTCCTTGTTCCATCATTTCGGAGCTATTGGCGGTGTCTTGTGGTGTTTTTGTCAGTCTTGTGCAGTGTTTTAGTCATTTTAGTGTAGCTTATTTCTTAGTTTCTCTATCATTATTTCTTAGTACTTGTAGTTTTACTGTCTTTATGTAGTGATATTTACATGAGTTCTTGTTACATTTTATTGTGTAAACTTATTGTTAACCCTATTAAATCTTTATTTTCCTCTATTACTTGTAGCTTCATTATTTTTAATTTTTTATCGTTTTCTTTCTATTATTAACTTTTCGTGGTTATATAATAAATCCTCCTCTCCCACCCACACACACACACCAAAAAAAAGAAAGTTCCTAGTGTAATTTAATTATTTTGGTTTGTAAGTTTCTATTAGATTAGTTATATTAGTTTAGCTCTTTATAAACGTATTATTATATTTTCATGATCTTACAATTCACCCCAAAAAAAGTTTTTTGTGTATTTGCAGTCTATTCGTTCATCTTTTTTATCTTTCATCTTACTAGTCATTTTATTAGTCATCGTATTAGTTTAATATAGTTTTTCCAACATCAAAAGATGTCGCAAGTAACAGAAAAGCTCCACAGAAGCCGAAATTGGCATGATTCGGAAAGACAAATACTGGTAACCCTTGGAATATAACCTAGCAATATATTTCCATGGTAGAGATTACGCATCCTCAAAGAAACAAAAAGCTCGAGGTTGGCTGAAGACAGCGAGAATATATAATTCTTGAACATCTTTGGCCCACAGAGAAGACCTTACTCTTCAAAAACAGTGGATTAACCTAAAAAAAAAAAAATGCAAAGAAGCTCTTACCAAATTTGAAGATGGAATCCCCATGTTCCCCACTCTCAAACATCGCACGCCAAGCATTGAAAATTGAAACTGTCGTGAAATTGAATTTAATCATTGAAAATTGTGCTGTCGTGAGCAGACCCGGACATCTGGCTGCAACATCTGTAAACTCTATATTCAAATTACATTTGGCCTGCACATTCAAAGAAAAATAATTTTTCTTTTTCAGAATAGCTAAGCATTTTCTCCCCTTGCACATGAAAATCAAAGCCATTGCTGTCAGTTATAACAGCACAATAATGTAAATTTTTGGAATATATTTAGCAAAGACCTTCATTTACCAGCCTAACGTAAGTGCAGTCCATTGGACCAATAGCTTTGGAAAATCTTGCTATTTCTTAAAAATTGAGTTGTTCCATATTTATTTCTCCCACTCTTTGAGGGACTGTAATAAACTTGTCTCGTAGGGAGGCAATGGCAACACTAAGGGCTGTATTTATAAACCTTTTTCAGTTGTGGTATACCTCAGGCATGTTCCCACCTGGTGAATCAATTTCAATATGCGTTCCATCAACACAACCAACCACCCTGGGAAATTGCCTAATTCCACAGAATTTTTGCTAAGTAATTCTTCCTGAGGGTAAGAGGCAATCACACATAGTTTCTTAGTTCACCAGCAAGAATTTCTGCCACTTGTTTCACAATTACACAAACACTTGCTTGGCTAATGCCATGGATATCTCTGTTGTCCCTCTGAAATACATATTATATGTAGTGCAAGAATACCATATTCATAAATAATGAACAAAAATGTGGATTAACTCACAACTCACCTGATAAATACCCGTAGCAAAAAATCTCAATGCTATCAACAGCTTTATCATAATGGGTACGGGTTTTCTGTTATTATCTGGTTTCGATAATCTAATCATCAAAGGGTATAGAAATTCTACTACCTTTCTTTTTTGAAATCTATACCTCTCCTGAAATTGCCTATCAGAAAAATGTTCTAATGGATTTGCCAAATTGCAGATATACTGCCGAGGCAGTTGTCGTCTTCTCTCCACAACATCCTGCACGAACTTGTTGAAGTCATCCATATCCTGAAACAATACCATGTCCACAAAGAAAAACCAATATTCAAAGCCAAAACTCAATCTACAAGATACAAATGAAACCTTGCTTAGTAATGAATTACCTTGGTATAAAAAAATGTTGGCAGGGTTGTAATCAGATTTCACGTCAATATGCAAGTTATGTTGCCATATATAAGGAATGGTCCAAAAGAGAAAGCTAAAATTCACTATATATCCCATTGAGAAGTCCAAAACACATGCTAGATTGCCGTAAATAAATAAGAGAGTCCAAAAATCAAACAAAGTCGGTAAAATAATAATATAGTTCAAGACAACCACACACGGAGGGAGTATAAACACAAGGGAACCACGCTGGGGGCAGGCTGGAGGGGGGGCTGGCAGCACCAAAATGCCTCTGTCAGCAGAGGGCTGCTGCAGGCAGCATGCTGAGGACCAGCTAGCACTGGGGACCATTCATAAATTGTAAATCCAACCACTGGCAGCCAGCTAGGCCAGGCTGGTTCCTAGCAGAGGTCCATAAATACGACCCTAACTCTGGATAATCGTATGTATTGTTCACTTGCTACCTCCCATATAGTCACCCATGGTTAGTTGTGAACATCCTCTGGCATAATATCTAGGGTAGTCAGCAGCTGGCCCATCGGCAATACAGAAGCCTTCCTAGAAGAGAAACGGTAACAACAATAATAATGATAATAAAATATTGCATTTATAACAGAAAATATTTTACATTTTATATTTATAACAAAGTTATTAAATAAGTTTTGTTTAATTTGCAATGACCATACCTATCAGAAGAATAATCCAAATCAGCTTCAATTCTTTCAAGTAGAAAAGTGTTGATGCTTTGGACAAATGGAACCATGTGACAGAATCCCAATTATCATAATTGGAAAACCAATCCATTCTCTCCCTCGCCCATCTTGGTCTTCACTCTGGAGGATAATATTCATCGTCACTAGAATCATCTTCAAATGCTGTCATTTGCAATCATCGCACCATAACGCTTCATTGGTATACACTATACACGCACATAGAAAACTGAACTTACTCTGAACAGAGATACTCGTCAGAGTAGAGAGTTACTCGACGGATTATTGTTGGGGAAAATTACTCTCGAGTAAAGTGTTGGTGAAACGCTCCTACAAGTTATTCTCAAGTAAATATGATTTAATCAAGAGTAAACTCTTACTCTTTGGTGAAGCTGGCCCTTAAAAGCAGAGATAAATTGTGCATTTATTTAATTTAAGGAAGCAGCAACAAGCTGATGTACATATATCTGTTACAAAATATCGACGTAGTTCATATATTATTATAAAATAAAAGGAAATATAAAATAAATTTCTTTTATATCACAATATAGTGATGATAAATGAATCCGATGATCATACATATATAAACACAATGCACATATACACACACACACAAACCCACACCAACACTCACACACATAATGTCAGTTCGTTTGATAGTAATTATCTAAACAGGATTTAAGACTCTAAAGTTCTCTTTTCAACACAATCCACTTGGAAAGCATTCCATTGGCTCACTATCCAATTGGTTATAAAATGCATTATTGGTCCTGATTTTGTTCTCTCCTTCATCAACTTCGCCGAATGTCCTCGTAGCCTGGGATCTGTAGCTGGTTTGTATAGTGTGTACAAATGACGTTAAAAATTTTATCAAAACCAGCTCAGATGAACAATGGATATATTACTAATGTAATGAAGGCTTCCTCATTTTGTTCAAGTGAATACAGTTTGCAACTACAGTAATTTGATTTCTACAACTTATAGTAATTTTAAATTATAAAACTTGCACTTGAATCAATTTGTGGCAGTTGTCAATCAGCGTTCAGTCAAAGTCACCTCTCAGAGGGTTTCCTATCCTCCAGATGACTTTGGTTTATGAGTGCTAGTCCAATAGGATAAAAGTGCAATTATGATCCAATTTATTTTAAATAATGTGTCACGTTATGACAAAAAAATACTAATAATAAAAGAACTGATAAGCATAGTATAATATTAAATGCAATTTTAATGGACAAAATGAAATGAAATATTTACTAGAGCAATTCTTAATGATTATTTGTCAATACTTGGTTTGTAAATGTTTTCGCAATTGGTCAAGAACCTGTATCATAATAGAAGCTGTATTGTAATGAGTATCATTATGCAACAATTTGCAGCAATCAAAGGACAGAATTGTACTTTAGGAGTAGAAAAACATGCATTTCAATTATTTAAGAGGAACATGCACTCCTATATTGGTTCGTAACTGACAGAAATGTGCTACAAAGTTCGTATGTAAATAGTAATACAAGAGCTAGAATTACTTGAATTAATGTCACAAGGAACTGGCAAATTAAAACTTGTGGCCTGTTTCTCTGTTGTTAAGGAAATCTTTTTTATAACTTCAAAGGTCACTCCACAGTTATGCTTTAATGTTTATGATAAAATATTTCTTATTTAGATTTGTTTGCTTTATCTGTATTACACAAAACTCAATATCCCTTCTATTCTCTAAAAATCTTACGGATATTTGAGAGAAAATTAATGTTTTTTTTTTGGTTTTTCATGTTTAGGACCACAGAAAAGACATCAATTAGATGCAGAAGTCACTGAGAGAGTGGAAAAAATAAATCAAGGAATCTACTTAGCAACATTTTTCATTGGGCAAAAATGGAAAATGAAAGAAAGCTAGCGGAGCAGCAAATGGCAAATGAACAACAGGTATTGAAGCAGTTATAATTGAAGAAAAACCACCTGCAAGAGATTCAGGATTCAAAACTTGCCCAGATGAAGGAACTCCAAGAATGAAATAAACAAATTAAAGATTTACAAATAGAGTTATTATTTGCAGAAAACAAAATTAGGAAATCAATAAAAGAATTTATAATTATTGTAATTATTTATTATGATTATATAACCCTCTCTTCATGAGAAATGTCTTTCAATGAAATGTCTGCTAGCTACCAATCCAGGACTTTGATTTCCCATGAATGGTAGATTGTCTTCTGTTTCATAATTTTCCATTTCCTCTTCAGGAAGAGGGTCATTTGTGTCCCTTGCAATGTTGTGCAATACACTTGTAGCAGGAATCACAGCTGCTGTAATTTTCAGTTTCATCCCCAAACCTCGTGACAGGCACCTAAATCATTGTTTCCAGATGCCTGTTGTTCTCTATACTGTATTTCGAGTGCCTACATGGGCTTCGTTGTATCTTCATTCAGAAAGTGTGGTGGGGTTGAGCATAGGTGTCAGAAGATATGTCTCACAGGGGTAGCCACTATCTCCTAATATCACACATCTAATACATCCCTCTTCAAGAGGAATACTGAGGCCGCTGAGTTGAAATATCCTAGCATCGTGAAATGATCCAGGATACCTTACAGTTATGGCCTGGATATCTATGTCCGGTCCTACTAGTACTTGTGTGCAGAGTATCCAGTAATTAGACATGCATATTTCTTGGCCCTTGGAGTTGTTGATATCAGATGATGCATTATGGCTCAATACTTTGTAGGGAATATATTTCCTGGATCAAGAAAGAAAGAGAGATACTATATATAATTATATTATATTCTATATATTATTTATTATCTATTATATTATCGTATATTATATATCGTATAGCCTATATATGATTGTATATATATATATGTATATATATAGTATAATATACTATATATATATTATATATATATATATATAATATATATATGATATCTATAATAGTGCTACCCACATTTTATGAAAGCCTTGGCAAATTGAATTAAAGGATCTAATGCATCTATAATACTCACCTCTTTAACCATTTGAGGACTAAAGAAACAATATTAAAATAATAATTTCAGAATGTTTAATTCATCAAGATAATTTCTAAAACCTTACCAAATTCATTTTTAGATGACTTTGTCATTATTCAAGTTCACCGTTTGACATTAATTTTGTATAAATTGATTAATTTTTCTTTGAAATCTATCATTTTACTAAATTAATTGGCAGGCAATCCAATTTTTTAAAAATTTATACAGACTGTCCAGTAAAATCCAATAAAAACAATAGTAAATTGCAACTCCAATTGTAAGGAAATTCCTTCCCATTTCAAATTAAGTGGACCAGTATATAAACTATAATCTAAAGGCGGCTCCACACATGTGACATTTGGCAAGTACGGAGCATACACTTGCCGAATCCCTAGTCTTGTGGAAGGGTTTGCGATTCGTCAAACGCAGAGCATTCGGTGTTCGCCTTACCCAGAGCCTGTCTGTCTTTTCCAGCACATCAAAGGAAGCAAAAATTCGTCTTGCCTAGAGTTTCTGGTTGTTTGAATCTCCATCCACACATTCGTTATTTGTTCGCCATCATGATTGCATAGATTTTAAACTTCATGTAAGCGTGCGTATAGTGCTTCTGGCTTTGCAAGCAATGTGATTTGGAGAATATCTGGATAGTAAATTAAAATAAATAAGTAGAATTAAGTAGGTAAATAACAAAATATACAAATTACTATTGAACTTTGTTACATGTGGTCAATTCATTTTTGTTTTATTTTGAAAGTCCGGGTGTTCCTGCCCTTCGAAAATTATTGAATTATCTTTTCGTAAATAAATTAAAATAAATAATTTAAAGATAATAACTCACGGGCACTCTTTGTATTGTACTTGTAGTTTCCGTCTAACCAAAGTTGTAAAATCGGAATGCATGTTAAGCCTAAAATAACTACCTTTGCTCTACCCTTCCTATAGTGCTTGTGAGCAGAATTTACCTACACTTCAGTCCCCGCAGCAGATTATATTTCAAAATTAATCATTAATTTATCTTTTTAACAATTTTTATTTTTATCATTGTGCGTTATTGTTAATTGTTACCATTTCAATTATTGTGATCTCTATTTTTAGAAATGGAATGGACCAATGATACAATCATAACCTTCCTCAATATGTATGAAAAAGAGAAAATGGTTTCGAATCCCTGACACCCTAAACATAATGTTCACACTGATGTCCACTAAGCGTGGAAAGGAATAGAACTGAGCATGGGCAGTATATATTCATTTAAAGAAATAAAAAAGGACTCTTTGAAGGTCTCATTTAGAACAAATTTTAGTAAAGTAAAATCAAGTTCAGTAATGGCGGTAATTAAAAATTCTTCTCTGCTGCCTTTTGTTTGGACACCTGGGAAAGTTTTCATTCTTCCTTAATTCAAAAGTAACATCCCCTACAAAGATGTAAGGGACTGGTGTCTTACTGCCTAGCAATGGCTCTTCTTGAGAGCAATTAAGTTCATTGTTTTGAATTTTATTAAACATCATCATGTTTCTCAATACTGCCCCATCGCTTGTGCTCAATACTGCCCCACCTGTGCCAATGTGTATCTTAAATTATACTAATGTATGAAATTAATACAATAAATATTGTTTTAAATGCTATTGTAGTATATATTAACCTTAATATAATTCTGTAGAACATTTATTATAGCACTGCACACCTCTGCGACAGTATTGGCAACCACCTGAGGTGAAACCTTCAATACCAAATCAATGCTTGGAAAAGAGTCACCAATTGCAAGGAATCGCAAAGTGAAGGCAAGACACTCTTTTGGTGCAATCCCTTTCCTACACTTTGTGTTCTTTATAGCAATCCTCAGTTGCACCTTTGAAAGAGCCAGTTAAACACTGGACATTTGGCAAAAGTTCTCGAACTTGCTAGATGGCTCTCTCGGCAAGTCAGCCATTTACATTGTGCCATTATACCTGCTAAAATAAAATGTTAATTCTGTTAAATAGATACATATGAAAAATAATGAACTTCATTGAATGTATAGACCGTGATACAGTGAGTGATTGTTCACCAATTAACTTAGTGATAGTTAAAATATAGGGTCATAGGGAAAATCTTGGGGGATCAAATAATATTCCATGAAATGGATTTAGAAAATACTGTGCAATGGGTTAGAAGTTACAATTATTAAGGAATAGAAGAAAAAACTTTTCTTACTTTGTTGACGAGTTAGACAGTCATTGGATTGCGAGTGATTTTTTTATTTGCATTTCTTGAAATATCAAAAGCACTTCTTTTAACTCCAATTACACTTTTATGTATGCTTCTCTTTTCTAAAATATTTGTATTAAAAGCTGGTATTGATTAGCACAATTGCATCTGAAACTTCAAGTAACATCGATCACATCATGCCTGCAATATCTCATGATTATAATAAAACTGCAAGTCATCAAGATTAAATAGAAAATACAATATATTAAATAGAATATACAATATATACAGAAATACAGTATATTAAATAGAAAATACAATATATACAATATATTTTCTTTCCATGCAAGCTCCTGAATTGCAATACAGAGTCGTGGAGAATGGACAAATACATTAATTTTAATCTGAATTTAATTTGTGCTAGATTAATAGGCAAACTATAAATGAAATGTTACAAAAACTTATGTATAAGTTAAGAAGTATATTTGAAAGGTTATCACATTCATTTAAAACCTGTAATAACTGATTAAACACCCAATGAGCTTTTTATACAGATTTGTAAACGATGTTCCCTGGTAAAATCAGGTTGGGCATCTGGCCAGTGAAGGATACTTACTGTAGAATGTTAAATGATGTGAACATGAGAATTGTAGTATATAGCATTAGTTATTTAAACTATATTATCTGGAATGAAGTTGTTTAGTTGAAACTGCAAATATTTATCTGCAAATTGAGTAATATTTAGGTTTTTGTGCTGCAATGAACAGGTACCAACCACCAGTTGTGAATCCACATCCATTGTAGCTCAGAGCACTGATAGCGAACATTCATTTTACCCAGAGCTCACCGCAAACAGTTCATAAACAAAGTTAATTTCGTAAAGAGTTTTGAAAATACACATTTTTTAGAGCCCTATTGTGGCTTCATCAGGGATGTGTAGCTAATGAATATGAGCATCAATGTATAGATAAAAATTCTAAAATAAAAAACATGTCAAATGAAAACCAAATGTATAAAAATACTAAAGATTTTAATCGTGAAGAAAATATAATTGTGAATTATATTAGCAGAATTCAAATTCACATTATTAGACATAATGTTGATAAATTACATTTTTGTTATATAGTAAGTAACCATCAACGTCATTAAAACAATAGTTTGTCAACACATTCGGTGCCCTGCTAATTCTGGCTGAGTCCTGGCGATGGTTTGTAAAAACGTACTCTACTGCATTGCAACTACCAGAACCTTCTGTGCAAGCAGATTATGAGTGATGTCTTCTGATACTCCCTATTTTCAGAGCACACATTGCCAATTTCAAGGAACTGAGTGCTTCCCTCCAGCACCCTGCGACACAGCAGTTAGTGAAACGTCCCGGGAAGAGCACGTTTCTCGTCCCTTGGAGGTGATAGCCAGCTAGGTCCATTTGCGATCTCATCGGAAGTGTGATGACACCCAGCCCAAGCACACTGTATGGCATGAGTGGGAGATGTATGTATGTATGTATGTATGTATGTATGTGCATGTTGTATTATACCACTCTCTACCTCTTCCCATACTCCCTTCTCTTCCTTAGGAGCGGAAATTATTTATTTATTTCAAATTTACAGACTGTAAGTCCACTTTTACATTGTTAATTTAATAAATGGAAACATAGTGTAGTATTAAAAACAACATAATGAAAAGAACACAAGGAAACAAAAATATTAAGAATATCGAAAATATGCCAAGTGACCAAAATAAACAATAATAATTTACAGATAATTTAAAAGATATTTTTGATGCACTTCTCAAATAGACATACTGAATTTAGAAAGTATTAAATTTATATTTTTTTAAAATTTATTTATAAACAGACTTAAAGTCTTCAATTTATATATGAATTAACAGAGAAATGAGTTACACATTCTGTAATACCATTAATCATAGCACAACAGCAGTGCTATAGCTTTGATCTCAAAGCTGCAAGGAAGCACTTGCTTTACCTTAACTCATTGTTGTACATAGTCAGTTGATGGAGTTATTTTCTGTACAGGATAAGTTCTGAAAGTGTACGTTTTTTCTAGGAAGTTGGTAGGAACTGTAAAATCCAATTTTTCTTGCAGCAAAGGACAAAAGCCGATTATTTATCAATTTATATAAAAAATATGCATCTGAGAGGTCTCTAGAAGAAGAAGGCAGATTTTAGACAGCAGGGATTTGACTGTAGTCATGATGTATAAATGGGTCAATGGATACCAAGACGTCTTGCTGCTATTCTATAATGTGTTTAACAGTTTCTTAATGTGTATTTGAAAGAACAGTGAGTACATAAGTATTGACTTATCTAACATAAAATAAAGACTCCTAAGTGTGTATTGTTTTAATTGAGTTAACGATTCACCTAACAAAACAAAATAATTGATTAGCTTTGTGATTTATATTATCGATGCGATTGATAAATGTCATCTCCGAATCAAAAATTACCCATATGTCTTTTATGTTGTTCACGCTTTCAAGTTTAATACCGTTGATACTATAAATATGATCGTGGATCAATTTAGATTTAGATAAACTTAAAATTTACATTTTTTAATATTTAAGGGAAGGTTGTTTTCGGTTGACCATTGGGACAATTTATTTACTGAGCTTTGTAGTAATGCTACATCTCGAGAATCGTATGGATGGATATGGATAATCTTGTGGATCAATTTAGATATAAAGAAACTTCAAAATTTATGTAGAAAAGTAACAGTTTTACATTTATTAGGGTTTAAAATGAGACCGTTATCTGCACACCATTTGGTGTAATTAGTAACGATTCTTGTAGCTTAATCTTATCTTGTTGATTCTAAAGAAGCCGAAAACTTTCATTGATGTCGATGAAATAACAGATTCCTATCAGGCAACTCCCTCAACGGCTCTGTCCTTGAGGTGTCCAAATCCACTCCCCACTGCACCCACAATCATACTTCCTCCCACCCGTAATTCCACTTGAGGTTCATGATTGGAAGGGGGAGGTCTCCCCATCCAGTCATGAACCTTCCCCTGTCCACTCCTAATGCCCCTTTCTCTCCAACTCCCACTAATACATCCCCTCTCCCCATTTTACCTCCCCCACTCCCCTTTCAGTCCTAGGAGCTACCCCTCAGGCTATCTGATTGGAACTCCTCGCCCTGCCTCTCCCGTCCCCCGGGCCATGTTAAGAGCATCTCACCGAAGTGTCCAACTTTATTCAGTGCTCCATTTCAGATCCTCCTCCACAAGATCTCACCCCAAGGCACTCCCTGGCATGCTAAATTGGTCCCTAATCCCTTATGTATCAAATCATCTTGGCTACCCAACAAAAATGTATCAGTGCCTTGGTTGGCCTTC